CCCCCCCCCCCCCCAACCAACTCCTCGATGGGGGAAACGGATCCGTTCGGCCTCCGGCTCCCCAGCGGCAGCGATCACTGTTTTCCTTCCCTTCTCGCCGCTCTCGGGAAGACTCGTCACGGAAGCATCACGGCACTCCAACAGGGATAGAGGAGGGAGGGAAAAAACAAAGGAAAACGAGAGAAAGAGGTGGGTCGGTTTCGTAAAGAGAGGCCATTCTTTCTCTCCTCCATCTGTATTTACAAGACAGAGGGAACCGGCCGGCGCTAAAATGGTGGCTCGGGCGTGCTGGGCCCGCCGGGAATTGTAGTCCATTTGCCCACTTCGGGCAAAGAGCGACGGGCGTCCGTGAACTACAACATCCGTTGGGCAGCGCATCCCACGCCGTCCGCGGCGATCGACGGGTGTTGTAGTACGGCCGTGCCGTCTCGGTGCGGTGACTACATCACCCATCGTGCTTTGGGTATAAACGCCTGCGCACTGCCCGCATTCTACCCCTAGCCGCTTGCGCTGACGGGAGTTGTGGTCCTGGGGCGGGCGTCCATGACTACATCTACCATCGTGCCTCGAGGGTAGCGCCTGCGCATCGTAGACGGCTTTACCCCCGCGCCCGGTGATTGTACCGATGGGAGTTGTAGTCCCGAGGCGGGAGTCGGCGACTACAACTCCCGTGGCGCCCTGGCGGCGTCGCGCCTGGCCTGCTGGGAGTTGTAGTTTCGCCGCCGGCACTTCAGGCCCGGAGCAGGGCAGAGGGTTGGGGTCGCGGAACTACATCTCCCGATAGGCTTCGCGGTGCAGGTTGTCCCTCTCCCACCGGCCCTCCCTCAGAGTCCGGGCGCCATGATGGAGACAATAATGGAGAGGGGAGAGACAGGGAGACAGACAGAAGGGGGAACTGAATGAATAAATAAATAAATAAAGAGAACAGGGCAGAAGCAGAGTCGGCGGTGTTAGGATGTGCAGAGAGAAATATTAGCTTCTTACTGTTTTTAAAATAAAAGGCAAAGAGGTGGAGGGAGACTGCTGTGGGAATTGTAGGTGACTCCTTCCCCACTGGTTGGGGGGAGTGAGGAAGGGGAGGAGGGACGGGAGGGGAGGGAGAAGGAGGATGTGAGAAGGGGTGGGAGGGAGTGCAGCAAGGTGACGGGGAGAGTGTAACCGGGTGGCGGGGTGGGGTAGAGGAGGGACACTGTGAGCGGGGAGGGAGCGTGAAGGAGTTGGGGGTGTGTGTGAGG